AGGGCCAGGGTGGGTCGGCAGGCTTGGCTGAATACTTAGCGGGCGCGTATGCATGCAAAAGCTTTCTCTTGCTGGTACGCTGTTGAAAAACCAATCTGCATGTCACAAAAGAAGCACCGATGCATTGCACAAGTGTGAGAACGGACAGTTGCACTGTGTCGGTCGAACACATACAAAGGATGACTCTCAGAAATCCGAAAGTCTCAGCTCCACTCGTGTTCACGAATCATACCATGCTAGAACCCTGTCCAATGCTATTGTTTTCCGTGCAGCAGTCCTCATCCTCCCTTGATGCACAAGTTCCATTCTGAGCCCCTGCATCTCCAATAAAGACCTCGTGGTGGAGGAAGATTAGGGCTTATGTAGCCCCACCGCCGAGCTTCGGCGAAGAACGCCGGTACTCCGTATTCTGATCCTGGAGTGAACTTCTGCCTCGCCCGCTGCACAGGAGTCGTTATCGGCACAAGACCCTGGGCAGCAAGCTGTTCCATTTCAGCATGGACTGCTTCAGGTGTTCCTGGCAAAGGGTCCCCAAGCAATGAATGCTGGCGTCGTCTGCCCACAGGTGCTCCTTGCTGAAGCTGCCCAGTCACATCTTGATCTTGGACCCGACGAGGAGACTCCCATGCTTGCCAAGATTCGGGCATGTTGAAATCAAGTTCGTTTTCATCGGGAATTCCGTCTTCCTTTGCCATTTTGACGATGTTAGGCCACACCAAGTGGAGATGGTCGTCCTTTGTATCCACGGATGCCCCGAAGACAATCCAAGCTTTCAACATCCTGCGACACATGCCTGCACTGCCAGCGACGCGAAAAGAGACTTCCTTGGTGCACTTGCGGCCATCAACATTGTGGGCAGGCTTTGTGCATGACATCTGCCAGCCTGTCATAGTCTTGTCTTTGTAGCGAGGTGTTAGAAAGCACAGGCCAAATGGATGCGAACGTCCCATGACCCTGGTGTGCTGCAGGGCCGGAAGCTCACGCACAGAGCCAGCCTCCAAGGTATCCAATGGCTCCTGGCCGTCTGCAGGAACTGCCGGTTCCGACAGCTCCAGTCCTTCACGCCCTGCCAAGGGCTGCGACTCCGAGGTACTCGAAGATGACGAGCTGGACGAGCTGCTGCTAGAATCAGAAAATTCGTCGTCTTCCCCATCATGTACCGCAGCGGTGTTGGGATGCTCTTCCACCACAGCGGCATCTGCAGGCATGTGATCATCAGGGATGGCCGCAACAGTTGCGTCATCAGCTACGGGTGCAGCAGATGCCTTGGCAGCAGGCAAGCGTTTTCGCGCTCTCTTCTTGGCAGGCTTCTTATCTTGCAAAGCTTCCCAGTCATCGGGGTCACCGGCAAGTATGGCTTGTCTCTTGCGAGCCCGCGGAACAAAGCCGGGATTCAGCAACTGCTGGTACACAGACACTGCAGCGAGATGAGGAACTCGTTTCTTGTGCTCACCAGCTTGCAGCAACAACTTCAGATAGAGCGGCTTGACACTTGCTAAAGTTGCCCCAGTCAACACATACCATTCCTTCTTCGAGTCAGGACCCTCCATGTAACCAGCCTCTTCTTCGCGAAGTGCCCGACTCTCCTTCTTGGAAACCACTCGCATACTCCAGCCTGCATTGCTTAAAGCCATCATGAGTTCGTACTTGTTCATGTCTGCGACAGGAACATCTCGCAGCTGGAGAACGGGCACGGCTTTGGCGGCGGTTTCGTAGCATGTCACAATCGCTTTGCGGCCAGATTCAGTCAGTTTCCAAACATCTTTCCCGACAGTGTTGCTGGAGGACTCTGCAAAGTTTCGCTCCTGTCACACAACAAACATGCCCTTGCAACCACACACAGACATATGGATGCATATTTGCTATGCACATCCCTAAACCCTCAATCCTAAACCACTGACCCGAAACCCAACAAGTTGAAACCTGAAACCTTAGTCCTTCAAAAGGGCCAGCTGATCCTGGTGTTCTGCCAGAGACGATCTGTCAAGCTGTAAACCTCCAGGCGTTGCCACCAGCTGTTGCAGAAGCCGAGACATGCTTGAGTCCACGTGCATGCGACCATCCATGCTAATGGCATAGCAAATGTCCGGGGAGAATTCCCACGCAATGGCTGTCTGCAAGGCTGTGAGGTCGAAAACACCAGCTGTCAAAACAAGTGGAACTTTCTCAGGGGCCACAGAAAATGCAGCTGAAGATGACACACTCAATGGTGTAGATGCAACATAGCCACGCATCTTTTCCACTTTGATCACTTGGTGCACTGCAATGGCAACATCGGTAGGAGCCAACATGCCCTTGTTTGCTGTCTTTGCGCGAGAAGGATTGGCAGCCACAACAGAAAAGCACATCAAGCCTTTCGGTGTCATCCAGTCTGTCAGCGGATGCTGCAGTTCGTCAGCTAAGGACTGCGCAGGCTTCCCTTGCACCCGGCTCACGAGAGTAACTAAAGAGCCAGGAGGCACTCTCGCAACAAAAAGCCTTGGAGCTGTTTGTTCAAATTGTCTCAGCTGCGAGACAAAGTAAGCAACAGCTGCTTCCTGTAACAAACCATTGTTGTCTACATTGTTGCGGTTCGCAGGGCCAAGAGCGACAGCATCTTCCAGCTCGGAGATGTCTTGCAAGGCACCTGTACTGTCATCATCGGGATCCTGAAACATATCGCTTGGTGAAATCTCAACAGGTGGAGGGCCACTCCTGTAGAGTGTCCACTTGTCTGCACGGTATGCCACCAAACGATATACCTTGGACCACGCGTGCGTCTCCCTTTGCAAGGCTGGATGAAATTGGAGCCCCAATGCCTCCACCATGCGTCTCGGCGACCTTGCCTTGTCCAAAAGAACAGACAGGTCTTCGAGGAACTCTGGTTTGCCTTCTGTTTCTTGTCGGATTTCAGTCATGCGCAAAGCAAGCGAATCGTAAGCCTCACCACGATACGATGCTCCTCGTCCTTCGCGCTGTATTCTGGCATGGCCGCCCTCAATGCGGCGCTCGACGACTAAAGCAAACTTGAACCTGGCAAGGAAAATCGCCAGGTTTGGGCAATTTGCCAAATCCTCCCCTTCCAAATGCTGCAGCACCTCTGAGTGAACAGGCTCTGATCGGAACTGTTTCATCAGGGGATGGCCATCTGTGCTGGCCAGACAACTTCGCATTGCATCGTGGGCAGTGGATCTGCAATGATGCGCGATGGCTCCAAGTCGAAGGGGAAAGGCCGTAAACGGACCTACTTTCAATGTGAAGACATACAACATGTGGCCCCTGCCTATCTCAAAATCTCGCAACAAGGCATTCCTTTCCTCCTCTGTGACTGCATCTGCCAGGGTTGACGCCAGGTCCAATGCTTCTTGCATCTGCAGCGACGCGAACATGGAGAAGAAATCGCCAGCGCAAACCTCCGGAAAGCGAAGGCCTCGGAGAGGACAGCTGGACCATCTCTTGCGGGTCTGGGCATCGACCTCTTGCCAGTTCAGATGGGAATGGCACGGGCAACCTTCGGCCCAAGCAAAACATGAACGAACAAGGCCATACAACTTGTCCAACACCAGCAATGCTGACCACCAAAGGCTAGATGTGAGTGCTTCATCCACTTTTAGAATCTCTGTCTGGGGCCTGCTGCCATCCAAATATTTTTCAAGAGACCACCCATACTGCAGCACTGTTTTCAGCTTGAGGACCTCGCTGACACAAAACGCTACACTGCCCCAGCGCCCCTCGTAGAGCTTAAACGAAAATCGCTGCAGCTGAGTATGAAACATTTGGCCCACCGGTCCTGTGTAACAAGTCTCCAGCAACTTCGTGCAATCTTGCCCAGCCAGCAGCTTGCAAACCAGGCCAAGACTGTCAATCTGTTCTCCCAGCTTTGAACACACCGTCAGCAGGGAGCTCGCTGCATTGTGGATGATATGCAACAAACCAGGGATGCCCAGTGACTTGTTCAGCGAAACTTGTTTCGGCACAACTGCGACCTGCATCTGCTCCAGAATCTCGAAATCATCTGGGTCTGCAGAGCACGGCTGCTCTGGTTGTGGATCTTCCGGCATCCAAGGAAACAACCGTGAGATGTCTATCGGCTGTACTTTTGGCAACGAAAACTCCACGCCAAGATCATAAGTTCCCGACACAATCTCATCAGCATACTTGCAGAAGCTATTTTGATTCACACCACTTTCCAGCCACATTGCAAACATGACAGCATGAAATTTCATTGGGAGGGTTGAACCGCCTGCGCCCAGGACCACAACAGGAAAGTTGTCGTAAATCAGATGCTGCTGCAAGAAATCATGGCACAGCTTGTCATTGTCCAAAAAAATCTCGTCGCTCGTATCCCCATCTTGCCTCCGGCATTGCCACAGCCCTATATGAACACCCTAGCCCTTGTACACACAAATGTTTTTACAAAATCCTAAACCAGAAACAAAAACACACTCACAAAGAGCACCAAGACACCAGAGGTGAATAAGTTCGTTCGCTGTTTGCAAGGCTCTAGCCGCATGTTCTGTCTTCAAATTTAGCGTTGCAGCAAGCTGGAATGTCCTGCCATGCTGGGTTGAAGAGTCGGCCATGATCCATCTAAGGAACTTCTGGTTTGCATTCCGTTCACGGCGCCAAAGCATGAAACTTGCATCCAGCAAAAACCGCCATCTCGATACTGTGCCGGCATTGGGCATACACATGCTAGCATCTGCCATCGCTTCCTCGAAAACCGGTCGTAGAACTGGTGGCAACAAAAAACGCATGGCTTGCGACACTGCTCTCGACAACTCAGAGGAGTCTCGCAACAAGTCTGCCATCAACAAGACTTGCAACACCCATACGGCATTGTACTGTAGCTTCTGCTTTGCAGCATCACTCATGCCACGTATTGATGCTCGGCCACGCATGTCCCGGCAAAGCTTTTGAAAAAACAGCGGATCTATTTCATCTGATACAGATGTCAAAGTTTCGATAAGAGACTGCACTTCTCTGTATTCTGCTTCTTGAAACTCATTCCTCGGATCCAGGTGGCTTGCGGCATATTTCTGCAAGTAATTCGCAACTTCCAAAGCGAGCTGCGAATTCAAACTCCTAGCTGCTGGCACTTGCGCATCTGCTGCGGCAGGCAAAGGACGATGTCGTTGCTGCAGCTTGGTCCAATCGATGTGAAGAGACTTGGAGCCCCCCCTTCCCCTCCCAGACTCCTGCACTGAACTTGGAAGAGCAATAGTCTTCCATATTCCTGCAGCACAAAGATGGGCATATTGCGGTGGCAAGCGTAAGGCATGGATTGGCTCAGATCGATCTTGCAACTGATCTTTGAAGTCTTGGGGGACGCTGTTCCAGAGACGCTGCGCCTGCCCAGCTTCCAGAGGAACCACGAAACCGCGCAAACTTCTGCCAGAACACTCCGTTAAGGAAACCTGTTCCGCAAGCAAATGCTGTCTTCGCACTTCAAAGATGAACACAGGTGCGTTGTCCAAGATAGCCTTCCAAAATCTGAGCTGCTCGTGCACACAAGCAGGGAAAACCCTCATCATGTCATATGCAATACCTTCGCTAATTTCTGCCAAGCCGAAGAGCATGTTCGGTGACGTGATTTCGCACACTCCTGCCCGAAAGCTGTCCAAGGAATCACTTCTCGCCTCATGTGGAATGTATATCCTTCGCTTCTCTACGCGAGCGAAGCCCAAAGAGGCCAGCCAGACCAACACCATGACGCATGAGATGCAATTTAGCATCGGGCCTCGCATTCTCACTCAAGATGACTCTACAAATCTGTTTGTTACGTCATGTTACAACACTCATATATGTAAAAACTCCTGCAGCAGATAAGGGTCGGTGCCTTGGCCCTGGCTTCGCAATGCTTCCAGAGGTTTAGGATCTGAGCATGGGATAGCACAGGTTCGTCGAAAACTGTCCTGGCCGTTGTGTTAGACTAGACATGATTTGAAAAAACGCAGCGCCGGCGAGCACTGCAAAGCTGATGTCAACGCAACGTGTCCAATCATTGAAAATCCACCTAAGTGTTGTGGTTGGTAGTTGCTCTTCATGAAAAATCAAGCAAAACATGCTCCATGGAAAACCAAGTTAACCTGTTTCATCAAGGGATCTCAAGAAGCAAAAAGTCCAACAAATGGTTTCTTTTGGGAATTCTGCTGCAACCATACCGAACCAGTGTGAGGTGACGTGAAGCGAATGAAGTGAGATGAAATGACGTAAGTGAGTAAGTGAAATGAAATGGAATGAGAAGAAACGAATGACGTGTACTGACTCACACAATGAGGTGAAGCGAACCAGCGAGATGAGGTCAAGTGAACTGAAATGAAGCGATGTGAGCTGAGGTGTGGGTCACCTGCTGCTATCTTGGTTCATTCCCGACGTGATATGAATCAGACAGGAATCACATCTTGATACTGGGACAAAACGAATTTAACAACCATTCATGTCATAAAGCATCGGCATCACGTCTCAATTGTCTCAAGTACTGCTGCGTTCTGTTTTCCTGATCATCTTTTGCGAATTGAAAGCTACATGGCAAAACTCGATGGTCCAACCCGTACGACTCAGATGCATGTGGTTGTTGGAAGTTGGAAACACATCGACGACGCGAGCAACTGGAAGTTAGAAGAAACATGAATCAATTTTATTCGAGCTTGTGGGCCTGTGAAACCGTTGCATCTGTTCCCCGTGGCATCGTGGTTGTAGGCTGCTTGCCCGCACTGCAAGGGGAGTGAGCAGTGGTAGTGGTAGGCAGTGGGCGGCGTAGGCCAGCCGCCAACACATCTCTTCAGTTTCTTTCGTGGATGTTGGACCAGCCAAGCACGATAAAGTCATGTTTTTAAGCTTTCATAACTCGAAAGCTCTCGTTCGAAATTTTAAATACTTGCAACTTGCAATGAAGTGAATCAAGTGTTCTCAAACTCAAACGTGTCACCGTGTCGCAGACATCCGAAAGTCCGAAAGCACGAGAACTTTGTTGAACATACTTGTTACTTGAACAAACAATCAATCGTTCAATCGT